GCTTCAATTGCCACATCTATAAACATGAAGATCACTGAACCAAATGACTTCTAAAAGTTCTCTAAAACCTCTAAATCTGTGATCCTGTTTCTCGGCTCCAAGTATTAGAGGGTATGGGCTTGTTTCTCCAGAGTGGCCAACCAGCTACAATGTGCTTGGTCCCCTTCCGCCAAACATTAGGGCAAAACACTGCTTTATGAAGAATCAGGGGCATGGAAAGTAGCAGTGTTTAAAAGCAGGCTGCTCTCCACAGTAATACAACAAACACTGATCACTGAATGCAAGCAGAGCACAGAGCAAGCACAAAGTCTGGCTAAGGACCAGGCCCTTGACCCTCATGGAGCTTACAATCTAACAGAAGAATAAGCCACAGAGAAACAGACTGTATTATACGCTAATTGCAGTAGTGAGGGTCTATGGGCTTCCTTCCCCTCTGAGCCTCCATCTCATTCTCTATTAAATACTGTTGGATTGAATGAGCTCCAAGGTCTTTTCCAGTTTTAATATTCTTTGGTCACCTCTCACCAAGAGTTACTTTTACCAGAAAAATACAATCGTGAAAACAAGAGAAGAGGAGCAGGAGGGGGAGGGCAAGAAAGGAAAAGAGAAGAGGAGAGGGGGGGAGAGAGAGAGAGGAGAGGCAGAGTGAGAAAGATTAGGGAGAGAGATGGAGAGAGGAGACAGGAAGGGGGAGAGAGGAGAGACAGGATGAGACGGAGAAAGGGATGGTGTACGGCAGGCAAGACCAGCTCTTCACACCGGGAGGTCTTGGCACTTTCAGGGGCTCTGGAACGATGGAATGGAATCCCACTCCCCTCCCCACCGGTGCTTCTGGCTTGGTCCCCGCTCTCACCAGAACATGGGGTGCTGCAGGTTGCCCAGGTCCGGCCAGAGGGAGAAATAGCATCTCCAGGGGGAGTCCTCCGCCAGGTACTCGTAGAGGAGGGCCAGGAGAAGGGGCACCCAGCCCGACTGGCTCTGCAGGGCCCCGTGCTCTGCACGACAACCAGGACCCCGGTCACCCTAGGGCGCTGGGGACCCCCGGCCCCAGCAGGGAGCCTTCTCCCCGTCTCTCCCCAGGCTCCCTACCTTTCTCCAGGAGGCCCCGGATGGTGCTGGTTTTTTGGGACAGAAGCACAGCCCGAGGCACCACGAAGAGCAGCTCCCCGCGCTGCACGTCCTCCAGGGCCACCATCCCGTAGCCGGACACGGTGCCTTCCCGGCTCACGGAAACCTGAAGCCCGCCAGACTCTGGGACCCGAGGATCAGAGGCTCCACCCCCCTCGCCCCTTCCACCACCACTCGGGTCCCGCCCCTTCCCGCAGCTTCCAATAGCCACATGCGTCCTGAGCCCAGCCCCTCCCTCAGCAGCCAATGGTCCGCTCGGAGACCTGAGCCTCGTGGGTCATAGGCCCCGCCCCCTCGTTAAAGTACCAATGGAGACACACGTCTCCGCCCGGAATCCCGCCCCATTCGGGCTCACCTTGGGACTCAGCTCCAGGCCGACCGTGCGGCACCAGTTTAGGAAGGCAGGGACGGGGCTGTCTCCGCCTCCGGAGGCTCCCTCCACCTAACGAGAGAGCGCCAGGGCTCGAATTCCCAGATTCCTTCGGGCACGGAGGCCTCGGCCTCTGGCGCGTGCCAGTCCGGCCCTGGGTTCTCGCAGATGAGGGAAGGGACGCTCCCTCCCTGCCCCTCCCAGCTCCGAGCGCCCAGTTCCTCACCCTCGGCCGCTTCGCCGCCGCCGCCGCCATTGTTGTGGCTGCGCGAGGCCGCCGCGCTCCCGCCGGGTTTCCTCCCTTCGAGGCCCGGCCCCTTCTTAAAGGGGCCTCGGACCTCCCCAGGTACGGGGACCGGAGAGGGCCAAAAGCGAACTCCTGAGCGCGCTCGTCGTGCCACGCCTGTCCCTCCCCCGCCCGTCCTTGTTTTGCGCCTGCTCAGGGCGGGGCCGCCCAGGCAGAATGGGAGGCTCGTGGGCCTCCCCGTGCCCCGGAAAGGCGGGGCAGGGTGGGACAACAAGCACCGATTAAGCGCCTACTGTGTACCTCGATCTGCGCAAAGAGCTTCATCTCACTGGCTGCCAAGAGCCCCTCGTGGGTCCCCCTGCCCCCACTCCCAGTGCAGCCGGCTAGAGGACCTCGCCTCATGGCTGGCCACAGCCCCCTCAAATTATGTGTGTGCACGTATGTACACACATATGTATACGTACGTAGGTGTAGATGTATCAGTATGTAGATACATATGTGTATAAATTACATGTAATATTAAATATTGTTATATACAACATTGTTACATAACATGAAATATTTTTATATAATTCTATATATACATACATATTCAAATTGGGCATTTAGACGCACTAGCAGTGTGACCCTGGGCAAGTCACTTCCCCCTGTTTGCCTCACTTTGCTCATCTGTAAAATGAGCTGGAGAAGTTCTTGGCAAACCCCTCCAGTAACTCTGCCAAGAAACCCCCAGTGGGGTCCCTGAGAGCCGGACACTACCGAAGGACAGCGGAGCCCTGTATGGATGCGAGCCACCATTATTTACCTGTGTTCCGCCCGGCCGGGTGCCTTGACTTCCCTCCTAGACCGCCGGGAGCGGAGCCGCCCCTGGGATCTTCAGCTGAATCTCCAGGCCTTCGGTCCCTCCCTCTTTTAGTCCTCTCCGTGATTTTCTTGCCTTTATAGTTTTGACTCTTTCTACCTTGACTATTTAACTTGGAGGTTTGCAAAGCACTTTAGGCGTTATCTTATAACAACCCTGGGAGGTAGGTGCAATTATTATCCTTATTTTATGGATGAGGAAAGTGAGGCAATAGGTTAACATGGATTAAGTGACTTACCCAGGGTCACACAACTAGTGTAGGAGGCAAGATTCAAACTCAGGTCTTCCTGACTCCGGGTCCAGCACTCTATGCACTGCACCATCTATCTGCCTCTCTATATAAAATATTATTATTATTATTATTTGCTTTTTGGTGAGGCAGTGGGGTTAAGTGACTTGCCCAGGGTCACACAGCTAGTGAATGTCAAGTATCTGAGGCCTATTTGAACTCAGGTCCTCCTGACTCCAAGGCCACAGCTCTACCCACTGCCCCTCTGCCTATATTTTTTAAGGATGGGGAGACACAAGCATCTTTGTAGGCAGCAGGGAGAGATGGGAAGATTAGTGAGTGGGGATGATAGATAGGAGGGCTCGGGGTCCCTTGTGCACGTAGAGGGGTTTGCCGTGGCAGAGAGAAGGGCCAGGTCTTCATGGGAGACAGGTGTGTCAGAAGGGGTGGGGGTGAGGTGACATGAGGAGCAGGGGAGGAGGGGTTTTTTCAGTGAAATATTGAGGCGAGGGCCTCAGCGGAAAGGCAGACAGAAGGGGAGCCGTGGGAGGTTTGTAAAGTGAGTCAGTATAGTGAGTCAGTGAGGCAGGTGTAAAAGCATCATCTTGCAGCAGTGAAGGCCTCGTTGGAAGGCGGGTGGGTCACCAGGCAGACAATGAGGGCTGACCTTGGGGCACATCCTGCCTCAGACAGCGACTAGTTATGTGGAGGAAGGGAATAAGCATTCATATAGCACCTACTGTGTGTCAGGGCCTGTGCTAAGTGCTTTACAATTATTAACTCAGTTGGTCCTCATAACGATCCTGCCAGTAGGTGCTATTATTATCCCCATTTTACAGGTGAGGAAACTGACAGGTTTTGTGAATTGCCCAGGGTCCCATAGCTTGTGTCTGAGGCTTATTTGAACTCGAGTCTTCCTGACTGCAGGCCTGGTGCTCTATCCACCGGACTGCCTCACTTCCCCAGGAATGGCCCATCACAAATCACAACCTCTCAGCCTCAGTTTCTCCATCTGCACTGATCTTACAAACCTTAAGCACTATAGACATATGAGTTCTTTCTGAGATTATGTAACCTTGGTTCAGCAGCCTGTGAACAGGAGGTCACGAGAAATGGGTAAACTGAGGAACCGGGAAGTTAGGTGTTTGAGGTGTTTTTATCTCTGTTCAAGAGACTGTGAGCCAGGCACTTATGTCTCACTGGGGAAGGAAGGAGACTGTCTTGAGGGTCGGGACATAAGTTACCACGTTCTCCTCGCCAGTTACGTGATCTTAAGTAATTTCTGGTCCGGGCCTCCCTGGGAGGAGGTGCCATCAGTTCTAACATCACATGTTCTGTGAGTCTTCTCATACCCACCAACTCTGGGAAAAGTGGCTTCCCTGATAAGCTGCCCCTATTGGTAGGCTAATCGTAAAACTTATTAAGCGCCTGCTATGTGCCAGAGACTGTCCTAAGTGCTGGGGATACAAAGAGAGACAAAGTGAGGAGGGTTCTCTGCTACCCATGACAGCAAATTATGCCTGGACTATAAGAAAGCTTCCAGACGTTTTCCTGATACTCCTAATTGATGGAGTAGGCAGGATCAGAACCAGCTCCCGAGTGTGATGGCAGTCTATTGTGATGTAGGTTAATGGGTGTGCAAGTGTAGTAGGATTGTGTTAATGCTGTGTATGTGTGAGAGAGAGAGCTGGGGTTGTGTGGGCATCTTTTTTTTTTCTAGGCAATTGGAGTTAAGTGAATTGCCCAGGGTGATACAGCTAGTAGGTGTCAAGTGTCTGGTCTGAGACTGGATTTGAACTCAGGTCCTCCTGACTCCAGGGCCGATGCTCTGTCTACTGCGCCACCTAGCTGCCCCCTATCCTTGTGGATCTTGAAGAAACATTTTGGGCCTTCGGCTGTGGCTACCTGGAGAGTTTGGGAATGTGGCTGGGCATTCCCTGGATCCCGACAGTGAGTCAGCCCTGGCAGATGTGATATCACATACATCGGCCCCATTTTGAGCCTTGAGTGTTTCTGCACAAGAGTAAACCATCCAGAACAGCACCGCAGGTCCGGGGCTGGAGATGCATCTCTGTCACCCACGCTGGGGACCGGCAGTAAACACTGCCTCAGTGGGGACCGTCCGAAAGGCACGCTGGCCTGGGGCACGTGGGCACAACCACACTCACACTCTTCTTAGTTTATTAGTTTTTCAACACAGTTAATTCTTTCTACAACAAGGATTTGTATTCATTTTACATTTGTGGTCGTCTCAGAGTCTCATGGCATCAATGCAGATATTAGCATCAATCACCATAATGCACAAAAATAGGTTTTTCACCGTACAGAGAAGTAGGAAGTCCATTAAATTTTACCTCAACCAAAGAGGGGGGGAGGAAGCAAACTAACAGATATAATCAGACCACCTCCAACAGATAGCCACACATAGACACCCAATATATATATATGTATATATAATATGTATAGATATTTATAGATATCTTGTCTTAAAGAACACACCAAAAACCCAAGGAAAATTGCAGCACTATCTACAGTAAAAAGGATTATTTCTACCAGCTTTTCAAACATTCACATTTAATGTTCAAAGGAAGCACATGGGAGGAGAGCTGGGAACAAAGTAGCATACTCGCAGTTTCTAGGATGGTTATGAAGATGGCTTAACGTTATTTAAACCAGATTGTGTGTAAAGTGGAACTGGCTGTGTGCTTTCTAATGCACACAAACCCTGGCTCTCCTAGAACTATGGGAGAGCCCCAGGATCCAAGGCCCTCTTGTTTTCACTACCGTCTCCTGTCTCCTCTCACTCTTAATGGCTTGTGGGATCCTGAGCGTCATTTCCTTAGGCTTCCAGTAAAACGAGCTTAAGTTTTTAGCTCCCCTTTCTGCTGCCCTCCTGCTAAGGGAGACCTCAGGCCACCAGCTTCAAGAGCTGGCAAAGAAACTGCCCATTACCAAGCTCCATCTCCCCCCTTCCTTATTCCACTCAGAAACCACTCCTTTGCCGTTCCTGTTTCCATGACACAAGCCATCCACCTGGACCAACTCTGGGAGTTTGGATAAGATGTGGGGTCATGACCTCAAGAGCTTGGGCCAGCTGCAGACAGACGTCACAGTCCTATCACTAGCCAGACATAGGATAAAGGGGTATTGAGAAAAATTACTCATCTTGTGCAAAAAGCACATCCTTCCTGATGCCCTTCTATGAGAGGACATAACTCTAGGGTGACCTACTTGGTGTAAGACAAAAAGGGTCTCTTTACCATACACTGACCCCATCCTCCACCTCCGTGGAATCCTGGTCAGAGCCTTCTCAGTCTCTGAATAGCATAGGGGAGAAGAGCTGTCCAGAGACAAAGACTGCATGTCCCTTAGGGGACACCTGGCCCAAAACTGATCATTAGGCAGGTGGTGAAAGACTGTTCACCGGGATCCTTCCCTCAAGATCCTCCCTAATCGTGGTATGACCTGGGCAAAAGAGTAATCTTTTCAGTGCTTACTGTTCTCTGACATCACCACCCCTCTACATAAGACCTTATGCCCATTTCACCAAAGGGGCTGACACGGGAACGAGCTGCATCCTCCTACCGGAACTGAGGGGAATCAGACATGATGGTTAAGTAATGCAGCAGCACCAACCTAGCCCAAAAGAAAACTAGGGGAAAGGGAAGGCAGGAGACAGAAGGCTCAAGTGAGAGCAAGCCCCTCGGTGGCAGGATCTGTCTGGTCTCAGCAGGGAGGGCTCACTTCCTCCTCCTCCTCCTCCTCCTCCTCCCACCAGGCCTCTGAAGACTTTCTCATCTATTGATCCCAATCCCCTTTTGGGGCAGAAATGAAACTTCCACGTCCTATCCTGGGACCCATCTGTCCAGGGAATAGGACTCAACTATCCAAGTCACAAACTACTGCCATGCTAGCCCAGGCACCGTGTCCACAGTGGGGCCCACCAACCTCGGGACAGAGTCCTGGGGCCATGCTTCCAGCGGTGTGCTTAGGTGGAAAGAGGGCGGCGAGGTGCAACTCAAACTTTGGGTTGTTATCACTGATTGTCATATATGCAACATGACTTAAAAATCTGTATATCTCGAAGGGCACGGGAGGGACATAAAGGCTCCTGGACTCTTTCCTGATGGCTTTGGGTGACGGATCAACCATCTCCTCTCAGAACACTCCTCTGTTGCCGATGCATTCCAGGCTCTTTGGGCCAGTGCCTTTCCCAACTAGGGTGAGATTTCCTCTTTTCTGCTCAGCATGGTGGAGACCCAAACACTGCCCCAGGGTGGGCTGATAGTTCAACAATCTCAGTTTGAGAAAAGGTCCAGGATTGGGGTGGGAAGAGAGGAAACAAAGGGGCAAAAGGAAGTGACTTTGCTGAGCTTTCTCCCACATCTACAGACTCTTTGTGAAAAGTTTTACTAATGTGTGACCAGAACCACACTAGAGAAACGGATCTTAATACAGCTCAGCAAACCTGTGTCATGGGATGTTTCCCCAGGCTCCTGGATCCAATGGCCCAGGCAGATATGGGAGGGCACCATTAGGCAGAAACTTGAGGATACTAAAGGTCCCCCATCTTGTGCGTGACTTCCTCAGCCTGGGGGAACATTTGTGGGCTAGATGAAGGGGCAAAGTCCTAAGGTGGACCAGTCTCCACCCAAGGAATGGGCCCAGTTTCCCCTAGGGAGGCCCCCAAATACCTGCAGCTGAAACACCGGGGAGGAGGGAAAGGTTTCGGACCTGGGAGATGATGACAAATGGGGTCACTCAGCTCCCTGAACACTTTGGAGACTGGTGGGCTGTGGCTTTTTAAGGTGGTTCTCCTACTTCTTGGAATAGTTATCTTTGCTCTTTTTTTTTCCTTTTTTTAAAAAAAAACAAAACAAAACAAAAGAAGTAAACCCCTCTTCCCCCTCCCCCCAAATAAAACCAAAGAAGTGTGGGCAGGCGACAGGGACGGCAGTCGGGTGGTGATTCGATGACGATGGGGGAAGTGTGAGGCATCTCCAGAGAGGCAACAGGGACCTCAGCAGGACACCTCCATGGTATGGTTGATCTGGCCTAGGGCCTCACTGCTTTCCGAGTGGGTGCAGGCCCGGGGGCGGGAGCCATCTGCAGAGCTGGCGCTGGTGAGAGAGGCTGTACGGGACCGGGCCAGACGGGTCATGCCGGCTGATGGCACTGTGGAAAATGGGCAAACAGAGAGAGAGACAGAGAGAGAATGGGGAGGAGCAAGAGGAAAAAGAGAGAGGAGAGGGGGAGAAAGAAGACAAGGTAAGAGGAGAGAGAAAGAAAGGGCGAGGGGGCAATAGGGGAGGAAAAGGGAAGGAGAAAGGGGGAAGAGAAACAGATGGGAGAGAGAGGCAGAGGAAAGGGGGAGAAAGGAGAGGGTAGGAGGGGAGAAAGGGAGAGGGGGCAAGGGGCAAGAGAAAGAGGGAGAGATGGGAAAGAAAGGGAAACAGGGAGAGACAAGTAAGAGAGGGAGGGAGAAAGAGAGAAAAAAAACACAGCAGCATTAGGCGTGGTAGCAGGGGCCAGGACACCAGTGGGTGGGAAGACACAGCACACAAGCAAAGCAGCCAGCAACGCCGTTCCTGCTTCATCCAGCTGTTTAAGGAACCGGGTACTTCTGGCCACTGGGCCCCATTCGAGGACAGTGTTCACAGCTTACTCACTCTAGGCTGGAAGCATGCGGTAAGGGCAGGGGAGGGGGAGTCACTGCCAAGCTAATGGTAACCGAGGGGGGCACGGTGCTTGGGTACAGCGTGGCCAGCTTACACAAAGGCTCTCCTCAGCATTGATGTCAGTGCCCTTCAAGGGCGACTTCTGGGGTAGAGAACGGTCTAGGGGGCAAATTGGGGGAGGGTCCAATGTAGGGGATCAGGGATGGTCTAGTCATGCATTGATGCGTCCCAGTGTGCCAGGTTATCTCAGAATCCCACTAGGATGTGTTGGATTCAAGACCATGTCTGTACAAGGAGGGAGGGTGGTGCATTCTCGGGCCCTACTTTTGGAGGAGCTCACCAAACACTCCCCAGTTTGCAGACTATAGGAGCAGAGAACCGATGGCTCACAGTGGAGGGTGCGGAGGAGGGAGGACTCCCCTCTTCAAAAGCCCAAAAGGGAGAACCTGAGATCTTGAAAATTCAGACTGCATTGACAGCTAACCCATTCAGAGCTCCAAGGCCTGAGGAGCATGGACAAACTCAGGCCGTCTCGTACCTCGTCTATCTAGAGATGATTTCTGCTTAAACATCTTCTGGGCTGGACAGTGTGTACAGGGGTCAAGACCCTCTGTACCCAGCCAGGTGCAGGCCCTCCTGCCTTCACTGACCATGCTACCTGGTTTGGAATTCTCGGGGCTCTAGAATACTAATTACTCAAGAAGTAGGAATCAGGTGACCATGCTGAGGCTTTCCCTGCATTCCTGGTGTCAGAGGTCACTCCTCAGGGCAGGGTTAGCAGTCACTCTTTGGGGCAGGTGGACAGCGAACTACAAAGCAGCTAGGGATCCATATCAGAGTGAGTGTAACTTTCCTGCAGTGATGCATATAGAAAGGGGATGGGGTCCATGCAGTAGGTAGGGGGGGTGAGAACAGGGGACAAACGTGAAGGGGATACCTGCGCCTCCACTCAGCCTTCGGTCCTTCAAGTATGCAACTAAGAGAGAAGATAAGAGAGCAAGAGAAGGGGCAGGGGGGATAGAAAACATGGGTTGAAGAATTGTGTCTCCCCAGGGCAGGGAGAGTCAATGCCACAGCAAAGACACAGAGACAGAGAGAGGAAAATGTAGATGGAGAGCAGGTTGGACGTGCAGGAGGCTCTGCCCTTCCCCCAAGCCCATGGCAGCCACAAGACCACTCAGGCATGGCTACGGCCTGGAAGGGTGAGGCAGCAGGAAGGGCTCCGGCCACAGAAGCCCGGTGGTCACAGAAGCCAGTGATTACACACCCTAGCCAGAAAACATCACTAAATTCCCATCGAGACCAGGGCAGGGGACAGGGCCTGTCCAAGCCCTCCTTGCCCAGATTCAGTAAGAGCACCTTGTTCCTCTTATTCCTTCAGCAAACACTGCATGAGCCCTTGTTGGTGTCTGGCCCGTCTGGCAGGCTGGGCCTCTCCTTTCCCTGGCCTCATCGCTTTGCTTTTTTGCAACCAATGCAGTTCTTGAACGAAGCTGCCTGGTCGAGTGGATGGGTGGAGAACTCAAGAGACCTGAATTCTAGATCCTGTACTGTGATCTTATTAATGACTTTCCATCTGCCCTCTGGCTGGTCTCTGAGGATACAGGAGCTAGAGTCTAGGAAGAGAGTTAGCAGATTACTGGGGCCTGGTTTCGAGATAGGTGTTGTCCTGAGTGAAGACGTTTGGGCAGATGTCTGAGAGGGTATGGCTGGACTGAGCATGCTGGCTAGTGTGTGTGTGTGTGTGTGTGTGTGCATGTGCGTGCGTGCGTGGGTGTGTGTGTGATATGTGTGACCCAAGGGACACATAGATGTTCTGTGGTGGTAATAGATGTTTGAGGGGAAAGACTACATGTGGTGACCAGGACCACTATGCTTCTTTCCTGCCTTGTAGTGAGAGAAGGGTACAGGGAGGCAGGATGAGGGCAACATGGAGCCTTTCAATCTGGGCTTCTAGATAAGCCCACTGCCATGATTATTTCTCCAGTGAGCACAGTAATCAAACCATTCCACTGCCCTTCCCCTCACTTCCAGTCCTGCCCCCTTGGTATATTTGGTCACAGGCAACAAACCAGGAATAGGTCTTAATGAAAAGATTTGTTCTGTGAAGTCTGGATTTAGTCAAAGGATTGCACTTGAGGACCTCGAGGGCCACATGTGGCCTCAAGGCTGCAGGTTTCCCACTCCTGGTCAAGGACCTCATGATCCCTCCACAGCCTTTTTCCTGTTTCCTGAACAATATCGACATACTGAGTTTGGGGCCCAGAACCCACCTGGTGGCTTCAAGGGTCTGATCCAGCCAATCTGCATTGGTCACCCAGGAAATGAATCATTTCATGCCATAGGCCCAGACCTAGGGCCTGGATGGCCAAGACTATTGCATTAGGACTATCTTTATCAAGTCCTGCCTACCTGCTCTGGTTCCTTCCCCAGGACAGAAAGGAACAAACCTCGGGACTGTCCACCCTACAGAAAACAGGGCAGATAATCACCAGGGCTGCCGAGGTCACCATGTGGTTTCCAAGAGCTTGGGACCCATCTGTTCCCAGTCCTTCAACCAACAACCCAGTGTGCCAAAGGTAAATGTTCCCCTCTTCTCCCTCCACCCCTGGGCCATGGGATGTATACCTCCCTAGGGGTGTCTCACCCTTCAAAGCCTATACACCTTGCTGTACAATGGAAACATGGCTGTTGGTCTCATGATGTACAAATGCATTTTGGGTAAACATGATGGGTTCTTTCAGTCCAGGCTAATGGGAAAGCAGGTGAGGTCACCAAAGACTTGGTTCCCTTCAGTGACCCATTGGGATGGCCCACCAGGCTCACCTCCCTTGTCCACATGCACGTCCCTATTAAGGGAGGCCCGCCTATGGAGACACCTCAGCTCTCCCACACAGACTCTTCTAACATGGCACAAATTTGCACGATTCACTGTATATGTGTGCACACACAATCTCACAGAGGTATTCCAAAGTCAGACACTCTGCATGGACCCCTGCCCTCCATTCTGTCACTCCACAGGCCCCGATGCTCCCTCTCCCCCAGCCTGGGTCTCCGGGGTCACTATTGCCCACCTCAGCCTTACTGGCCGAGCCGTCTCTACGGAGCTGGCACTTACTGTAGCCCATGCCTTGAAGGAAGTACTTAAAGGCTTCAGTCAGTTTCCCGGGCTGTAAGGAGAGGAAGAGAGAAATGCATCAGTCAAGAGCCAGGAATGGACCCATTCCACGGGATCCCTGGGTCCCTGCCCTGCCCTTTTCACCAAAGGAGGGGCAGCCCGGACACCTTCAGCTGGACCGGTAGTCATAACCCTGTGCTATCTTAGAGAAGGTGCCCTGGGAAAGGCCTGGACCATGTGCATGGGGGCCCTCTCACCCACCTTCTGGAGAAAGGAACTCACCTGTGTGACCTGGGGAAGTCCACCAGAGTCGGCCATCTGCAGAGGGAAGCGGCAGGACAAGATAAGGGTCACCTGCTCCACTGAACACTAAGGCTTTAACATCCTACTCCTCCATTATAATGAATTTACAAAGCATTTTAAGGTTTTAAAATCCCTTTATATACATTATCTCATTTGACCCCTTTGTAAGGTCAGTGGTGCAAGTGTTACAAATCCCTCTCAATTGGGGGAAAACCGGGGCCCAGAGAAGTCTTAGGACCCTGGCTTTAGGTCTGGGAGGCACTTCAAAGGTTACAGAAGCCAATCCCCTCATTATACAGTTAAGGCTAAGAGAGAAGCATGGGTCCATAATGCTAGTAGACATCAGAGGTCAAATTCGAACCCAAGTCCAGCTTGATTTGAACACAAACTCTGCTCTTTCCACATAATAAGCGTGTGTGCATGTGTACATGTGCACACACATACACGTGCAGGGACTCAAATCTCATAGTTCTGTCAGTGTGTTTTTGATTTAGCGCTAAGACATTGGCCAGACTGTTCAGGTAAGATCCCCCTGTGTATGGAGCGAGGGGGAGGGCAGGTGTCCCTGAACCCTGAACACAGGAGCCCTTGGGGGGGACGCATTACCTTCAGGAAAGTGGTATTGGTTGGGTCCAGCTTGGAGTTACACTCGACCTGGGGAGAAAAGTAAGAGCTTCAGGCTGTTAGAAAGTCAAATGAGACACCCACTTGGGTGTCAGCCCCAAGTAGTCTCGTCCTACTGTCTAGGAATGATAATAACAGCAGACAGCACTTATACGAGGTTTGCAACATGCTTTCTTTACATACGTTATTGCATTTGATTCACCTATATTTCTCTGTGAGGCAGGTGCTATGATTGTCCCCATTTTATTGATGGGGAAGTTGAGGTAAACAGAGGTTAAGTGACTTGCCCAGGGCCACACTTGGGATAAGATTCTGGGGTGGGATCCAAGCTCAGGTGTTCCAGTCTCCACTGTGTCACCTAGCTGCCTGGCCATCCCCAGGCAGGTTAATCCCTAAGGCTGGCTAAGGTGACTTCCTCCTGGGAAGGAAGGGACAGGAGGAACAGCCCTGGTTTCCTTAAAGCTGGAGAGTTCCCCTGGCACTTTTCTTTTCAATATGCCTTTGAAGGAGGTTAAGAAAGGCTCAGCAAGCCAGCTGAACCCAGGTCTCTCTGTCTTCCACGTACAGCGTTCTACCCACTGTACCACCCTGCTGTCCTGGGGATGGGGGGGGTCCTCTTTCAAGATGGGAGCAGGGTCACTCTCCCAACATGCCCCACCAAGAAGCAGTTAGAAAAGGAGGCCAGTTAAGCTTTGAGAGGACCCTGTGATAAATTCCACTATCTATCCCTGAACCAGCCTCAGCTAACACACCTTCACCTCCAGCTAACCTGTTACCAGGGTGAGCTGACAGCCAGCTCAGAGCAAGAGTGAGACCCCAGGCCTGAGAAGAGGAAGGAAGGAAGGAGGTGGAAGGACCTCAGAGACAAACAGCAGTGACTTCACCCAGGCCACGGTCTGGCTTTCTGCCTGGCCTAGAGATACCTGGGTCCACCTGAGGCTGAGGGGGGATGGAAGGGGGGTGGAGAGGGGCAGACGCTTGAAGTTGCCACCCTGGGGGCCAAAGGTGCTGTTGGCTGGGCCAGAGAGAGAACAATTAGGTTAGGGAACAATGACCTAAGAAGGGGAGGGTGGGGAAGGGCTCCTGGGGCTTGGTTCCTGAGGGGGAACAGACAGAAAGAAGGACCAGGGGTGGCAGGGGTACACAATGCTGGGGGTGACAGGGCAGGGTCTCAGGAATATCTACAGGGGAAGCCTCTGAAAACGTCTAAACATGAGATGGGCCAGACGCTGCCTCCTATCCTAGCCTCTCCTAAATGGATCCAGGCTTCAGTGTGTCCCAGAGAGGTGAGCTGCAGACACTATCTGTATTCCAAGGTGGGGGGTATGTTTCCTCAGGATACATTAGCCTGAAAAGCCCACAGTTGAACACGGGGCTTAGACCCTGGGATGCAGGATGTATATTCCTTGCTGGCTTGTGCCAGGGACTGATCCCTCTCTGATTTCTCTGGTTCCTCCCATTAGGTGGGTTTGACATTAGCACTATACTCACCACCCCATCCTCTGCAGGAGCGTTGTCCCCAACCACGAGCATCACTGGGCAGCTGAAACACAAAAGGGAGGGGAAAAAAGAGTATTAGGAGGCTTTTGAGAACTGGGTAGGGGCTGGGGCTGGGCACAGGCAGCAGAGGCAGGACCACTCACCGAAGGGTCTTGGCGTTGGGGACTGTCCCGGGCCGGTTTATGTCCAGATCCCTGCGGCTAGGCAAGGGGAGAATGAGTGGGAGAAGAGGGTGAAAGAGATGCTCCCAAGGCTTTGTACAGATCATTGCTGAGCCTGCCCCAGGACTGCATTTCTGAAGCTAGCACACCGCCATCCCCATGGCTTTGGTCTGGGGAGGAATCAGAGCCCTGCAGTTCAGAGCCAGAAGAGTTCAAAGGGACCCCAAGGACTACACCTGGTGCCCCCTGAACAAGCACCCGCCCCCTAAGAACGCACGCAACAAGTAGACCTCCAGGGATGGCCAACCAACCAACTCCCAAGGCTGTTCATTCTGCTTTTAGGTAACTCTAGCTGTTAGCAAGTTTCATTCTAAGCTTAAGTTTACCCCTTTTCAGTTTCTCCATTGCTCCTGCTTCTACACTCTGGGCAGTTAACAAGTCCAGTTCCCTCCCCCACATCAGCCCTTGACAGTGGGCTCATGCCCTCCCCAAAGCCTCGTCTCCAGGCTTCTAGCCATTAGCCAGTCTCTTCAATCACAGCTTGCAGAACACAGTCTTGAGGCCTTGGCCATCCTGCTTGAACATTTCCAGACAATCCCTGCTCCTACCAACATCCATCCTAAAATGCAGTGGCCAGAACCAGACACAACCTTCCATCTGTGGTCTGCGAGGGCAGAATACTGTGGGTCCATCGCTGCCCTAGACCTGGACATCACGCTTCTCTTGACGCAGCCAAAGACAGTCCTAGCTTTGGGGGGCTGCTACATCACACTATTGAGTTGTGTTGAGCTTTACAGGCCACTAAAACCCCCACCTCTTTTCCTATGTCTTATGCTTGTGAAGTTGATTTCTTGAACCAAAGTGTAAGACTTTGCATTTGTTCCTATTAAATTTCATCTTATTAGGCTCAGCCTGCTGTTCTAGCTTTTCTAGCTCTTTTTGGACCCAGACTGCTGTCAACATATTCACTATCTCCCTGAGCATTTTGCCTGTAAGCTTCAAGTGTGATAAGCACGCTATCTATAGCTGAGTCACTGAGAGAAAATGTCAATGAGTGAAGGGCCAACAGATTCCTAGAGTACTCCACTGGAGAACCCTCTTCCAAGCTGACATCAGGCCATTAAATTATGGCTTCTCCTTGGGTGCTGACATTTAACCAGTTTCAAATGCACCAAACTGTGATACTGACTAGTTTCCGTATCTCCAGCCATCTTGCTTCCAAGTTCATCTAGTTCAACACTACCATTTCTTAGAGAAGGAAAGTGACTTGTTCTGTGAACTGGCCTCAGCACTCTTTCCATTAAATGTCACTGCTTAGGGAGGCGAGACAGAAGGAGATGATTAGGGCTAGCCACATATTAGATAGCTTTCAACTGAACCATGAAAATCTCAGAAGAAACCCTTCGTTACATTGCAAAACTCCCAACCTTTGGGTCTAGCATTCCTGCACCCAGCCAGGGGACGCAGTCAAGCTGATCATTCTTGCCCCAAAGCTTAGTGTGTCTAAATGGGGCAGGGCAGAGCCAGGGAAGTCAAGTTCCAAGCTAAGAAATAGGTCTAGCCCATGGCATTGGCAAGGTTAGTACTCCTTCATCCCTCTACCCCAGCAGGACAGCTCTGTTCTGTCCTTAGATAAGACCTGCCTCCAGGGGGGAGCTGCTGTCCTGACTCCAAAGTAGTCAGGGGGGAGAATGGCCTGAGAGCCCAGCAGCAGCCCTGGTGGAACAGAATCTGCCACATTGCCAAGCTGTGCCAACACTAGCTCCTCCTGATATAGCTGGCCTGAAGGGTCAGAAACAGAGCTTAGTGGGGATGGGGATGGGGATGGGGATGGGGATGGGTTGGGATGGGGTTAGAGATGGATGGGGATGAGCACAGGGGCAGGGGTGTGGATAGGAGCAGAGGATGGCAGGGGAATTAGGGTAGGGAAGGATGGATGGAGAAGGATAGGGACAGTGGGAGGGATAGGGTAGGAGGTGAGGAAAGGGCTGGGATGGGGGAGGGTAGTGGGTAGAAGAATCCCCATATGCAGCCTCAGTCCCACTCTGATCCAACCTGTTGTACATGTTCCAGAAGAGCTGAAGGTTGAACTGATTCACCGTATTGCTGATCTGCTGACGGTAGCTTTGCACCAACTCTGTGTTGTTCACCAGCTCCTCCTGGGCCCCCCAAGAAACGGACAAGAGTGATTGGGGGTGGGGGCTAGGGAGACATGAGGCTGAACCCTTGGCTCTAGCCCCAAGGTCCCCAAATGGAGAGTTATACCCCCGGCTTTCAGAGCCATTTGTATATGTGTGTGTATTATTGGTGTTTATAAAATACTAGCCTATAGAAATTGTTTTGTTTTTTTGGGGGGAGGGGGTGAGGTAATTGGGGTTAAGTGACCTGCCTAGAGTCACATAGCTAGTGAGTGTTATGTGTCTGAGGCCATATTTGAACTCAGGTCCTTCTGACTTCTGAATGTAGGAACAGGGCAACTAGGTGGCGCAGTGGATAGAGCGCTGGCCCTGAAGTCAGCTTCTCTGCACTGGGTTATCTGCCGGCTGTCTTCCCTGTCACACTGTGAGCTCCTCAAAAGCAGGGATTAGACGGTTTGTCTTTTGTCCTTTTTTTTTTTTTTTTGATATCCCTCGCACTTAGCAAGTGCCTGGCATATAGTAGGTACTTAATAAATGCTCCCTTTCATGACTTGACTCAGAGCACTGTTTACAGCTCCTCCCAGCAGAATGTGCCATAACCTTCTCTTGGGTGACGTGGAAACTTGAAGTATGTCTTAGTGAGGGTGGGGGATGGGGGGGAGAGGAGGTGAAATTTGGCCTCAGAAAGATCTGAGGGTAAGACTTGGGGGTCCTGGCTCATAGATGGTGCCATGGATAAAGCACTGGGCCTGGAGTCAGGAAGACCTGAGTTTAAATCTAGCCTTAGACGCTTGCTAGCTGTGAGACTCTGCGTAAGTCACTTAGCTGTTGTCTGCCTCAATTTCCTCAACTGTAAAGTGGGGATAATAAGAACACCCACCTCCTAGGGTTTTTGTGAGGATCAAGTGAGATCCTAATTTGTAAAGTGCCTGGTACACAGAAGGTGCTTAATGAATTCTTGTTTCTTTTCTTTCCTTCCTTCCTCCCTCCTTCCCTTCCCTTTGAGGATGGCTGGGTGCCAGAGTAGGCCCTGTTCCCAAGGAATGACTGGGATTTTCAGATCCCCATAGGCCTTGGAGTTACCCCAAATCCCTGCTCCCAGGCCCAAGGGGAGCATACTGACATTAGACCTTTCCCTTACCTGGCTGAACAGGTGAGAAAGAACTGTGTCAGGTAAAGTGCTTGTCAGGCCTGAGAGCTGAAAGTAAAGAGAGGGAGCCGGGTGTGAGTGGCCAAGGGAAGGGGCAATGCCGGCCCTGTCCTTTGCCCTCCTCCCTCTCCATTATCCCAACACATTTCTCACCTTGGTGGCTGCCCAGTCAATCCATCCTTTGCCATTGGGGTCAATGTTCATGAGCACCAGGCCCTCCACAAGGTCAGGGAAGATTAGCTGTGGATGGGAGTGGCGCAGGTTAGAGGGCCCCTCCGGTAAGAGTCAGCATGGGGGCTGAGGGCTCTGAGGAATACAGGGGGGTGAGTGCCAGACAACGCCCCGTTCCTGGCTGTTCCCAGGCAATATTTACCATGGAGGGACCACAGGAGATCCAAGTTCACTCTTGGATCTTGCCACGGCCTGGCTGTGACTGATTCCCTAAACCTCAGTTTCCCCATCCGTAAAATGGGGTTAAAAATTTTTCTCTCTCCCGCTGTACTAGGTTACTGTGAAGATAAGGTGAAATAACAGATGTGAAAAGGGCAGTGCAAACGGGAGGTGTGACAAGTGTGAAGAGGAAGATGGCGATAATGATGCTAGCAACATGAGGAGGAGGCGGGGAGAGCCAGAAGCAAGGGGAGGGCAGTGTGCTGCATTGCTCCGGGAGGGAGGACGGCCAGGAGGTTCTGCCCCCGCCCGCTCCCTCCTTCCCAAAGGCCACAGGTACTCACGGCAAACTTGGCCAGGACGTAGGCTCCAGCTCCAACCCCAATGCCGATCACGTACTTGAACCTGAGAGGACCGCAGCGGTAAGTGCCCAGGAGAGACTGGGGAGTAAGTACTTCCACAGAGACCCTGGGACGAGCGGCCCCTGGGGCTGGGCCCCCTCCATCAGGCTGGAAAGTCACAAGCTTCCTTGCCTGGCTCAAGAGAAAGGCAGGGCCACCTGCAGCCCGCGCCCTCCCGCTGCGCCAGCTGTCCCTGCACCGCCTCCCCTGGGTACAAAGCAACAACAACCACCTGGGGCAGAGAGACTCACCCGAAGTGTTGGATCACACTGGGGACCATAGCGGCGAGCTGCTCCATTGAGGGAAACTGATACCTGGGGGACACACAGCAAGGAGGAGGCATCAATGGGGAGAGTGAGGGGGAGCCTGGGATGGAGGGTGGGACCTGATTGGGCAGGGCGGGCCTAGGACAGTGGTCTGCAGGAGGAGGGGCAAGAGGGATAGAGAGTCTGACCCACTGGGAACCTGCCCTTGAGGGCTTTGGGTGGGGTGGGGGGGATCTCTTTACACTGATTTAGGATTTCTACCCTGACCACTTCCAGGTGTCTCCCTAGGCGTCACATGGCAGGGAGACCGAAGGGTACCAGACCCGCCAGGTGTTCACCCATTACTTGGACCAGGCAGATGGGGAGGTGCCACTCAAATTGGGGGTGGGGGTGGACAGGAGGAGTACGTACCCCTGAGGGAACTGTGATGCCCCCGCCTGCTGCCCAGGGGCATCCACGTGGCACACCACAAAGTGCTTGGTGATCTCCTGCATGTCTTCAAAGTTGAAGAAAGCATTGAAGCAGAGCTTGTCTGGAAAGAGGCAGGCAGGCTCTTGGTGGGACGAAGTGGGGGGACCTCGAGGAGCCTACTAAGGCCCCCTTCCTGCCCCTTCAGTTCAATAAGCACTTATTACGTGCCAGGCATTGTGCTAAGTGCCGGGATCACGGCTGGACTGTGGTGGGTGTTCCCAGAGTCATTCTGACACCAGAATCCTGGTCCTGGCCTCACCTTCCCAACCCTCCTTCATCCTCTCTGACTTTACCTGCCAAATCCGCCCCCCTTCCCCACCCCAACTCCCAGCCTCATACTCAGGATCATAGGTTTGGAGCTGAAATGGACATCAGGGGTCTGGGGCCAACTACCTCATGTTTTTACAGATGAGGAAACTGAGGTCCAAGGCTCCACCAGTAGTAAGTGTCAGGGCCGGTATCTGAACCCAGGGCGTCTCACTCTAAGAGTTGGAAGTGACCTCAGGGGGTCTGCTAGTCCAACCAACTCATACCTGAATAAGAACCCTTCTATAACGTTCTCAACAAGTGGTCACCCAGATTCCCCTTGAAGATCTCAAGTGGAGGGGAGCCTACTGCCTCCCAAGGCAGCCAAGGCCACCCTTGGACGGGGCAGACTGTGGCTTCCTGATGGGGGAGGGGGCGTCCTGTCTCCTCTCCTCCTCACTCCTGGTTCTTCTCGGCTTTCTCTCCTCTCCTTCTCTTGCTTCCTTTGACTGTATTCTGTAGTTTCTCGCTCCCTCTAATTGATCCTCCCTCCTCTGGTCTCAACCTCAGAATGATTCTATGCTGATCTAAACTCGGATGCAAGGAAATGAATAATAAAATAACAAAAACTACTAGCATTTTATGTTGTTGTTCGGTCGTTTCAGTTGCGTCTGCCTCTCTGTGGCCCCATTTGGGGTTTTCTCGACACATGCTGGTGTGGTTTGCGTCACAGGGCTGATGTGACGCTTAAATGAGATCATGGATGAAAAGTGCTCTGCAAACCTGAAAGTGCTATATACATGTCAGGGATTATAATAAGTTTTAATTAATCTTTGGGAAACAAAAAGAGCTTAATATCCTTAAGGCTATGATATACTCAAGCGCAACCCACCAACTTCCAGAGTCGTTACGAAGGTGAAAGGGAACGCTGTAGATGTCCCATCCTGGTTTTATTCCCCTCTTATGCTTCCCTGATCTGGTATTGAACTGAACTCCAACCAATTGTAAAGCTGGAAAGAACTCTGAGATCATCTGGAAACTGAGGGCCAGGAGAGAGATGAAAGTGAATCAAAGCCAGAGGCTTTTACTGCAGGGGCAGCAGACAGGTTCTACTTACGGTTGAGCCCCACATCATGGTAGGTAAGGATGGCAGGGCGGTTTCCCTTAGGAGAGCCCCGAATCACCACATGGAGAAGGCCATATGGGGTCTCTATGTCATGTTCCTAGAAAATGAAGAGACAGTTACAATTCATCCCAGCATCATCCTGTACCCAAACGACTAACCCTAACCCTTTCCTCAAGCCTTTGTATTTTTTTCTAAACTTAACTTCTTAAATTAGGTTAATGAGTAACTATTTATTAACCTAAACCAACTTTCCAATGTACAAATTTTAAAATTAAAAAACATTATTTATTTATATATGATATTTATATCTATCTATATATGTGTGGATAAAAATATGTTTATGTATATGTATATACATATTATGGATATGTATTATGTATACATATTGTATGTATATATGTATAGGTATCATGTATAATATAATCATATACAGACACAGATCTTTGTTGTTGTTATGGCTGCTCAATGACATCCTCAGGGAGCCATCTTAGCATTGGGATCACTGGGATACAAATGGCGCCCTAGCTCTCCCTGCACAATGTTAGACTGCTTTTGAATTTGCACAATCTGCAGCTCTGTTGGCAGTGCTCTTATCTCCATAGCCAGCTCAGAATCTTAGAATTTTAAACTGAATTCAACAGTTCAGTGGGTGGAGGGTGGAATCTCAGAGTTATTGTCATTTATATTTCTCTGATGATTAGCATTTTTAAAAAGTAGTTCCTGATGATTGGTGATTCTTTTTTTGAGAGCTGCCTGTTCATGACTTTTGACCACTGATCTGCTGGGGAATGGAGCTCGCTCTTACAAATCTGCACCAACTCCTTATAGCCACAGATTTCAGAATTTTATTAGAAATAGTTATGGAAAACCTTTTCCTCCCAATCCTTTTCTCTCCTTTTTATGCCAGATGCATTGTTTTTTGTTGCCTAAAAACTTTGAAGAGGGGTGCAGCTAGGTGGCGCAGTGGATAGAGCACCGGCCCTGGACTCAGGAGGACCTGAATTCAAATCCAGCCTCAGACACATAACACTCACTTGACCCTGGGCAAGTCACTTAACCCCATTGCCTAACCAAACCAAACCAAACCAAACAAAACAAAACTTTTAGGAAGATAGGTGGTCTAGCCTGGCCTGGAATCAAGAAGACCAGAGTTCAAATCCAACCTCAGACACTTACTAGCTGTGTGATCCTGGTCAAATCACTTAACCTCTGTTTGCCTCAATTGGAAAATGGGGATAATAATAACACCCAAGTCCCAGGGTTGTTGTGAGGATCAAATGAGATAATATTTGTACAAGTGCTCAGCACAGTGCCTGGCACATAATAAGTGCTATATAAATACTTACTCCCTTCTCTATTAAAAAAATAATCGAATCCATCTTGTCACCCATCTATAATTCCCTGCCCCAACTAGAGGTGTAAGTGTGACCCTTAGTAAGCAGAAAGAGGAAAAGCCTTCCATTCCAGACCACCGCTTGCAGTCATGGAAGAAAACATTGTCTCCCTGGCCATGAATCGGAACGCCAAGAGAGGTTTTCCATTTCTAATCCAAATCTTGTCAAACCCTGTTAGAGCAGCAGCCTTTGGGGACCCAGAACTCAGGGAACTCAGCCAGACGAGGACAGTTCCAGGACGGGCAAACTCAAGGGGGACAGAGATAGAGTTTGGAAGGCAAAGACCCTTTTCCCTCGGCTGTGATCGCACTAACGGCTGGGTCATTTCCGCCTCCCCTCTGTTCCCTTGCCGGTCCTGGGGAATCTCTCTTCACACTTCATTTCCTCTCCACCCCTTTCTTTGCATCCTCACTGCCACTGCTGTAAGTCAAGGCCTCATCACCTATCCCCAGGGCTGGGGGACCAGCTTCACTGTCTCAGTTGCCTACCAAATAAAGCCCACACTTTTCAGTCCAAGAGTTTGAACTGCGGGCTGTGAACTTGGTTTAAAAAATGTTTTGATAACTGTCTCTCAACACAATTGGTTTTCTTTATAATCCCATGTATTTGATTTTGTGCATTTAAATGCCTGATTCTGAGAAGGGGTCTCCAGGCTTCCCCAGACTGTGACTACCCAAAGGAGTCCATGACACAAACCAGGGGAAGGCCCCCTGTATTTATATGGACACTCAACACTGTCCACAATGATCCTGATCTAACTGTCCCACATTATCCCACTTTCACTATTCCCTTTCACATACCTATACTCCAGCCAAATGGGACTACTCATAATTTCCCCCAACTCGTCCTATGCTGGGTGGTCCCTGTACTACTCCTTATGACTAGAATGTGCCCCCTCCCCTATATTTGAGTGCCAATGTATTTTTCAAGGTTTAATTCTACAAACCATTTCCTGCGGAAAGGTTCCTTCCCCCCAGCCAGTCGGTCTATAAACATTTATTAAGTGCCTATGATGTGCCAGGCACTGGTGCTAAGTGCTGTGGATACAAGGAAGGCAAAAGACAAGTCCCTGCTCTAGTCTGGATGGGAGAGACAACACGCAAAGAAGCTATTCACAATCAAGTGTAGACAGGAGAGATTGGAGACAATGAACAACTGTGGACAAGCTATAGAGAGGATAAAGGTTTCTGTCACCGTCTCTCCTTCCAGGCGCGGGGACTGCCTGTCCATGTTTCCTGGCCTAGACCCTGGATCGAACAGTGGCCGCGCTCCAGCTCGGGCAGTGACGTCAATGAGAGCACGTCAGGCTGCAGCTGCCACACCAGGGCACCCAGGCAGAAAACAGGCCAAAGCAGCCCCCAGAGTGCCTTCCCCAGGGGCAATGCAAGGCTTGCAGACAAACAGACGACGCCCAGGGGCTCGACCCCCCTCCTGGCACCGCAGGGAAGCGTCAATGAGGCCACCGGCCTGAGTCACTGCATCCCCCATCCTCCTGCCTGCTCCCTGGCCCACAGGGTCTGGGGGCTCAGGAGCTAGAACCATCCAGGCCAGCTGACTCATTCTACAGACAACCCAGAGAGGGCCAGACCCTCACCCAAGGTCCCACAGCCAGATCCCCTATCTCCACATCCAGTGTTCTTTCCACTGTTTCTCATTCCACAGAGGAAGAAACGGGGGCTGAGAGAATGCACCAGACCCAGGTGTCTGGGTCCCCAGGCTCTAAGCCTGGGGGGAGGAGGCAGGGGGAGGTGCTCCAGGCCTGGGGCTTGGGGTGGCAGGGCAGGGATTAGATGCCCTGGGCACTAAGTCGCTACCGTTGTTTGCCCAGGAGGGACTTCTTACTCGCAAACCAAGGCTGTTCTAAGATGCTGTTGGGGGTCCCAGCCTTTGAGAACACAAAGCTAGGAGCAAGGGTCCCGGGCTACAGCAGTGGACCACCTGGTGGGACTTATCAAGGAGGAAGCTTCATCCGCCCTTTCCCAACACTGCCCATGGGGTAATGCTAGGACGGCACATTTCTGTAGGGCTCGAAGGTTTCCAAAGTGCTTTCCCCCAACCACCCTGTCTGAAGGGGAATACTGAGGCCATGTGTCCCAGAACCCTCATTTTACATGAGGAAGTCCAGTCTCAGAAGGGCAGGTGACTCTACCAAAGTCACACAGCTCATAGGAGGCAGAATCAAGGCTTAAACCCAGACCCTCCAATCTGGAACCATGAGCACCGAGCGTTTGTGGGAGGGCAGGGAAGGGTGATTTGCAAAGCTTTTGTGAAGCTTCCTAGTCACAAGGCAGAGGAATGAAGGAGGCCAGACCCTGCCTAGCACTAGTGATCAGCTCCTCAGCTCCCTCCATCTCTTCTCTGGGTCCTGTCGCCTCCACAGCTGCAGCCGTCTCACCCTCCTCCCCAGGTTCTTCCAAAGACTTAATCCCTGCCTCTAGCCTCCAAAAGACGCAAATGGTAGCTGTTCTCTTCCCACTCTTCCAAGTCGCCTCTCTTGATACCGACTGATTCTTTACGGCTGACCTAGTCCCCGGAGCATCTCGTCTAGACTGCCTCCAAGGAGTTGCCTGAGGTTGGAACACTACTGTCCCCCAAGGGAGCAGGGCCTGCATAAGGGCACTGAGGGTGAGGAGGCCTTTTCTACGGAGCCAAAGGACAGCCTGCTCCATTTAGCAGGAGCCCATCTCAATGACCTTGGTTGGCTCCGTCATGTTCTCTCTTTGCCCCTCAGTTTCTCAGCCAAGTACTTCCTGCCTCATCTTTCCTGCTCAAGATGGTGGTACAGGATGGGTCTGACTCAGAGCAGAAGGATCGAATCTCAGAGTTAGAAGGTCCACCAGAGGTCACCTGGTACATCTCAGGCATGTTGTCCCCTAGGCCTCAAAGCATTAGGGACCTGCCTCTGTCCTCTCACAGACACTGGGGGTCCCAGCCAGGCCACAGCCCCGAGAGAGCAGGGGCAGAAGTCACTATCTTAACCACAGTGACCAGGATGAGGACTCTGGGCTCCCCCAGTCTCCCCTCTTCACTCAAGCCTTTCCCCGTCCCTGACATTTGGCTTAAAGTGCGTCCGGGAACTCAGATGGAGAAAATATTTCTTTATTCCACACAACTAGTCCCCTTTGCAATCCTGCACATTTTACGTTATGCCTTGAAGAATGTGGTTCTAAGAAAAGGTCCCTGGGCTTCACCAGAGTGCCACCATGATACAAGCAAGGTTGAGAGCCCTTGGAGGAGAGGAAGGAAGAGACAGTGGAGTGGACCGTGGCACCCTGGTGTAGCAGAAAGCTGAGTTCAAATTCCACCCTGCTCCTAGGTGTGTGACCTTAGGCAAATCATTTCTCATCTATCAAATGAAGGGGTTGGGCCCGATGACCTCCAAGGTCTTGTCCAGCTCCAAATCTAGGTTCCTGTGATGACTCAACTCGGCTGGCTTGTTCTGATCACAGCATCTCAGAGCTGGAAGGGAGCTCCTGGTGGCTCCGTCCAGCCTCCTTGCACCTGCCTAGGAGCTCCCCCCGACTCTCCCTGACAAGCGGTCAGATGGCCTTGCCTCAGAGGCCCCACTGTGGCTCCTTAGCTGCGGCCTGTCCAGGGCCCTGGACACTCGGGGGCAGAGCGTCTGGCAAATGGAAACAATCACAGCCCTGCTCCCACAGCTGCCCACACGGGCTCCGGCTGTTCCCATTGGTTCCTGGTGACG